CAACCGCCTCTGAGCTTGCTTCAGAAACGCCGTGGAAATGTGGGGTATGAATACATACCAGTCGGAAAGGGGCGACCTCGCACACCGTCGATCTTGTCGCCGTCCGACTTGGAGTAAGGGAGAGCGGCGTTGACAAGGGTCGCTAGTAGTGGGTGAGTGGTAGAATCAAGTGCGTGGAGAACAATCGTAGGACAAACCTTCGGTTGACGAGTTTGTGTCAGACATGGGGGATCAAGGAAGGGTCGGCTTGCCTGCGAAGGATCTCGATTGCCTTTATATACTCCCAAGCTTGCGGATCATTGCGGCGCCCTAGCATCGGTCCCAAACTGGAACGGCATTTCATTCTTCCCCTTCATTGGCGCACATGTTTCGGCAATAAGCGAGTGAAGAGCAGTATAGGGCTCCGCGGATGAGAAACAGTGACTGCACTCCAGATAACCCGCACATGTCAGCTACGATGGTGATAACTGGACATCTTGACAAGATGTCTCTAGATAGGGATAGCGAACTGCCTTCGTTGCAGTACAACTTCACCGATCTGCCAGTATGGTGATGGAACCGCTCCCCTGGCTCCAGATTTTCCACGAGATCAGGTACACCACACCTGCCCCTTTGTCATGACGTAATGTCTCGAAACAGTATGGCCACAAGGTGGCATTGTCTACATATATCAGCGGGATGGGTCTATAGCAAGCCCAAACTGCATATCCGGCATTACAGCTCTGGGATGGATGGTCGACTTCTCTGCCCTCCGACTTTGCAGTCTTACTGTGGCTTCGTCCGACTCTCGGAGGTTCATCCATTGCCGAGGTACGCCCTGTGACTCCCCGCTGACCCTTAGACCTCGCTGTCGTCAGCTGCGTTTCGCCGCCGTAATCCGCTGGGGCCCCAAAGCGAGGAGCGCTCGTCGAAACGTAGAGGATCTTGCGCAATCTCAGGGAAAGGAGTTAGTGTGCAATCCGCCTCGAAACGGAGCCAATGTTTGCATCAGTCTGGTTCGGTGTTGTGGATCTGCCGCTTCAGATGGCGCAGGCCTCTCTGGCGAATAGGCAAAGAAAGAACAGGACGCGTCAGCTTGTACATTCGCCTGATCCTTTCCTGCTTTCTCGTCCATGACAACCTTTCTCAATCCTCGAGGGATCGCCCGCAATCGGGAAGGTCAGTCAGCTGTACTTGACTCCGTGCGGGACCTGCGTAGATGCACCGAAACGCCGGAGAGCATTTGGTATACTTCCCGGCGATCTGTGGGTTCGAACCGCCGCCAGTCGGTCCTTTCTGCAGCGAAGGTTTCTCACAAAGATTGGGGGTTCTCCCCCTCTGCCCAGCTAACAGCCTCTCACACAGACCCGGTCGCCGGCCGGTCCAGATAACATCGATCAGTCTCTGGGTGTCGGCGCCCTACAGCTTCTCGCGAGATCGAACACCAAGCTTCGGCGGCGACCGAGAGAAGCGCGGGCGGAAGCGATTAACGACTGGCTCGCGAATTAAGCTATAAACTGCTTGCACCGGGGTACCCGCGCGTGTTCTCTCTCCTCTTTGCAGACGATGCTCTCGACTGCACGGCACGCTCGCAAAATTCTAGGACTCACCTCCTCACAATCTTCATTGAGATGAAGGAGCCGGATGCCCACACCCACGAGAAGCGCAGGGGCAGGCTTCAATAGTGGTCAAGTGGCCGCTAAGATCGCCAGAGCTCGAATGCCTTTTGAGTCGTCCTGCCGTCCCGTCGTCCCGTCGACAGAATTGTAAACTAACTCACACAGCAAGCGCCGAGTATATATATCATCACCCCGATGTCCTGGACATCCATCTCGCTTCAAACCATGTCGGATCTGACCATGAACACCGCAACGAACATCGCTGGCGCCGCCGCTCCTCCTCCTCCTCCTCCTCCGCCTGGCGGCGGCGGCTTCGGCCACCAAGGCCCTGCAGGCGATGCTTCGACATCGCAGAATATAGAAGGTGCGCGACATGCTGCGCTCGCGCCGCTCGATGCTCATAGCGTATAGAAATATTGGAGTCCATTAGGACCCAACTCGAGCTCACCGCGTCCATCGTGAACCAAGGAAGCTCAAACTCGGCCACCGACGCGAACGCCCAGCACGCGACGGTCACCCAGCTTCTGCACGCCATTCTTTACCAAGTACAGCAATTGAACATCGCCATCCGCGATGAAGGTCGAACTCTGCACATGGCGATCCTGAACGGCTTCCAAGGCCTTCAAGGCACTTTGGTCGGTACGTCAATCACGCTCGCCTTGCGCCAGCCATGCCCCTCATCGTTCAAATAATGCAGCCCACCGCCAGCAGGCTACCGACCAGAACCGCGAGCTCGCGGATGCCATTACTCAGCTCTTTCGATACTTCATGAGCCGCCTGAACTAGTGTTAGCGTTCGCCTCTGTACGATAAATCGTGTTTGGATTGTGTTACGAATAAGCTGTTTTCCCCGCCCGCCTGCCTGTACTCTCAATGAATAGGCGTCTAAGTGATGAACGACGCGCTACAAGTTCTTACGATGAAATTACGTGGCCCTGGTTGCCATATAAGAAATTCGCGAGAGTTTTGTAGTCCTGAAATCACCGGACCGTTTCCAAGTGCCAGGGGTTTTGCGTATCCCGCTCCATCTGATCCGCGGGGGCCTCTTTGGCTCTGGTTGGAAAGCTTGAAGGCTACGTTTGTGCGGGCGCCAGTTGGTCCAGTCTCCTAGCAAGCTAGAACATCCAAGCTGTTTCGGCGGGCGGCGCAGCCGTGGTAATGCTCGGATGCTGCATACCTGCGCTATCCCAAACTGAGCGTATAGAAGACGCTCACATGTGAGTCACGACTCATTCACACGCCGGGTGCTATCTTAATATGCCTCGCGCTGTGTTACGGCGTCCAGCCGCAAGAACTCACGCCCTGCTTTCGAACGTTATGGGGCCGCGATCGGCTTGGGATGGTGTTCAGTTGCTCTGCATTTCTTGTCCGACGAAGGGCCCAGGTCCAGTCATCGTCTGCAGCGCTGGGCAGCGTGTCAGGCGAACATCATCTAGCCCGCCGCAAGCGCCTTCTGGTCTATCTGATCGGTCGAATGACCATTGAGAAGAGACAAGAACTTTCTCACCAACAGGATCGGTACGCATCTATCACGGGCGGCGAGGGAACTGTAGTGCAGAATGATGTGCCGGGGGCTGTGCGAGACGCCTTAGCGAAGCAAGTGCGGCGCAGCGTCGATATCTGGTGACCGTTAAGAAGATCCGTGCTCTTCGCTGGACGCCGCGCTCCTCGATTGCCCGCCATGGCACCCAACCATGTCCAGATTACCGATCGTGATTCACCCGCGGAGTACCGTAGGGCGATAGATGCTCTACGCGCTGTTCAAAGGACACATAACGTTGATCTGACCGCCCTTATTGAGATCTTGCATCTGTTCGTGCGCGTGTCAGGTAATCAGGTGCTGCGACCTCGCGCGCCTGACTATCCCAATAAGGTTCTACTTGAGGACCAGATTACTCTGGCGATCGAGTTGCTTGATGCGAAGACTCTGCAGTGGCAAGTGAGTCGTGAATCGTCACTCCCCCTATTTCAAGTTATTTAATTCTTTGCCGCAGGTGGTCGCGGGGGTCCTTCCTGTTATCATTACACTGTACGAGCTTTACAGTATGCGCGTCGACGCCATCTCCGTCTACAATGCCCAATTTCCCACCACTCCTGGTGTAATTTATCCCCCTGCCAGCATCAACTCGAACGTCCCTGCGTCAGAGCTGTACGCCGCCGAAGATCGCGTCAGGATCCTGCGTCCCATAGATGCCATTGTTGACGGCTTCTACGACGCCCTGAGGGGCGGGGTGCTCGACGATGCAGTGCGTGTGTACATTGTCGACTTCGCATATCGGATAGTTTCGCACTATGGCCCAGCTCAGGAGTAAGTATTCCCCAAAGCAGCGCTTTATCACCGTATTGACACTTTCATCGAGACTCAGCGGGCAGTCAGAAACCGCATTCTTTGCTGCACTTCGCCGCGAAGTGTCCCGCAAGTTGCTCGCATTCGTCCACCTCTCTACGCAGTACCCGTTCCCTCCCGATGTCATTGGCCCGACCCAAGTCCTTCGCTGGGCCGAAGACGCTACAGAGCCTTTTGAGGCAGCGAGTGAGCAAGGGATGTTCATCCGCTATATGTTCCCGGCGAACAAGTTCGATCGAGGGCGTTATCTCTTGCTGCCTGAACAGAGCAAGTTGGCCATGCGTCGCCCCTACAACGCTTACCCAGGACTCCAGGGTCGTTGTCTGTCGTGCGGGGAGCGAAACGCCCGATTTTCATGCCAGCGCTGCAAGTGCGTCTGGTACTGCGGAGCTGATTGTCAACGCAGGTACGTACTTGCGAATACAGGCGAAGTTTGGCTGAACGCCTGTCAGGCATTGGGACTCTTCGCACAAGATTGGTTGCGCCATGTATCGATACTTGACAGTGTAAATTACGTAGCCAGAGATTGATCGACGCCTGAACGGCGATGATTTGATTGTGACAAAGCGAGCGAATTCTTGCCACTACCCGGCGATACATTCACGTTCAGGCGTATATGAGCAACTCAAAATCCTCTCCAGACCTCGCTGAGGATCGCTAGGAATTGCACCTGCCAAGAATTTCGCCAGTGCGGTCTGTAAACTTGAACATCATTATAACAAAAGACAGGACCATGATGATATGCTACGGCTACGCTATCATAGGAAAGCTGACAATGCCGCTCCGTACAAAGTAGATACTTCCTGCCGAAGGACCGCGCCCTAGTATCTCGGTTTTTTCGAAGAGGGATTCGCCGGCGGCGAGCGAGAGCGGGCGAGACGATGAGAAGCATGCCTGTGATGCGCCGGGGTATCAGCAGCAGATGCTACGTGCGAATGATGACGCCCTCTTGATGGTCCGGCGACGGCGTTACGATGCCTGTCTGGAACAGCGTGGGTCTGATCAGCAGGAGCTCGCGATGGTCCGGCAACAGCAGAAGGCGTCCTAGACGTCGTTGATGGACCCGGTGCTGGAATACCCGAGGCGCCGCCGGCGCCCGCTGCAGAGGTAGCGACTAAGGTCTTCTTGACGCCGGCCTTTGAGCGGGACTTGCTCTCCTTCTTTTTCGTGCGCGATGCAGAGGGAGAGTCGCCTGCTAAGGCGGCCTCACCTGGCTCCATCGCCTCAAGGAATGTCACCGGACGAAGATCGGCTACGAGTGCGCGGCCTTTGCCAGACTTGCCCTGCGAGGCTGCTGCTTGAGGCGGAGGTATAACGGGTGCAGCATCCATCGCGTCGTCCTCTATCTCGGCGTCGTCACTTTCATTGGCGTCATCACCTTGATTGTCGATGCCGTATGTCACATTGGGCGCTGGGGCTGCTGCTCGGTCGAGTATCGTTTGGGGAAGCGTAAGATCAGCGCCTTGCACTGAGGCGGCGGCGCGCATTAAAGGGTTGGCGGCTAAGCGCGCGGCGATCCATCGCAGACGATCAAACTCTAATAGTTCGCTCTCCGTGGTCTGCAGCAACTCGCGCAACGTTTGCAGGTTCTGCGCTTCGCGGTCAAGGGTAACCTCCAGGTTGAGGGCGACGGCAGCCTGCAAGCCAGTCAAGTGCTCCGAATATGGAGGGGGTTGGACCGCGCGATTCGTGAGGCTGCGCAACCATTGATTGAAATGCGCTGCATTCCGGCGTTATTGCCGAGGCGTGGAAGTTTAGCGGGAGACTCACTACCTGCAGTATGTGTGTTCCAACCCCTGGCCTCAAAAGGCCTCATGGGTTCGAACCCACCCCAAGATGTTTCAACCCATCTCGCAGCAAACAAAAGAAAAAAGGGCCTTGCGGACAAAAATGCCCACAACGACATGGACAGGAATTGAACCCATGACCATGGTGTCTGCCTATGTTCCACAACCACTATGCCATCGCAGCTTGTTATACTCATGTTGGACACTGCCCATGTACCCCACCAGACCGCTGAACAACTAATAATTGGCGTAGCCGCGACTTAATTCTCCGGGAATCTCTTTTTTACTTGTCATTCATCAACCTAACCCAACTCGCGGATCAACGTCGTTTGCGCTGTCCCCCCTCGGCTCCCCCCTCGGCTTCCGTGACACCGAATTCGAACTTGACGTCGGCGCCGAGCCGTAGGGGCCCGCGCCCGCCGCGACCACCAATGACGCCGCACCAAGACATGGGCGGGCATCGAGTCTTTCCGTATATATACGTCGATGGGCGCGATGCTTTCTCGCTCAACCATGCCTTCAACAAACAACGATAAATCAATCTCCGCCCCCTCCCCCGATACTGGCTTGTCTGCCAGTACGGGCGGATCGTCCGCGAGTACGGCTGGATCTGCACCCGATAAGCACGGCTGCTGGAAAGCGCCCGGACTGCCAGATCTACCGGCGAATGAGAAGTAAGTCCGTCACGCTCACGTACCGTCGAGGTGTTCAATTCTCGAGTCAGATTCACTACCATGGACTACATACTATGCGATACCATAGCTGCAATCAATAGGGAACAAGGCAACTTCGGGGCGGATAAGGGGCACTCGCGCGGCAATTCGAACGTTGCAGTCAATGCTGGTTCCGGTGCGTCGTCCCGCTCAATACTTCTGCACGCATTGTTCCTCTTTCTCACAGGCTCTTCCCGCAGACATTTTTGTACCCAGGGAAGCAGACCCCCGCGTCGAAGCGCTCTGTGCGCAATTCGACGCCATGAACCTCCGATTCCGCACCCGGCCCCGTCCCTACCGCCCGATGACCGGCCTGAACGTCGGCCATCTCTTCATGAAGCGGCTCCCCGCCGCCTGCATGTTGTGCCAGCCGTCGCGCGCTCTGTGTTCGCACGTAGACGAAGAATGTGGTGGAGGTTTTAAGTCTGCAGACGATGACGATGACGACATACCTGAGCTTGAATAGGGCCCAATGCGCATGCGGCGCACGCTTCACACACGTACATACAATGTGTAGGATACGTGCCCAGTACGGACTTTGTCAATGTCAGCTCGCAGTTTTCCCATTGTCCCAATCGTCAAGTGTGTGGCGAACGCAGTGATCGGGTGAGGCGGCCCGATTTGAAGCCCAATCCATATAGGCAGCGCAAGCGTGCGTCCGTTTCTACGTCAGGACACCATGTGCCCCTGGTACTCGGCGTCATCTCTATTCTTTTACGCTCATCTCCTACTCACTCGATACCGCACCTGAAATATCCGGCCGCTATTCGTGGCAACACACACCGCCCCCGCACGAGAAGTTCCCTTATCCGTTCGTGCACGCTCCAGTGCACGCTCAAGTCCTGTCTACTCCTATTATTCACTTTATTTGTGCGTCTCGCCTAGCATTACCCGTCATCAGTTGCTTACAGTTTCGTATACTCGCCCCTGCCACTTTAGAGACGTGACACATATTGCTGGTGTCCAGCCCGTGGTCGGCGCTAGATTTGCTTCCGCTCCGGCACGGCACCGTCCCCTCGCGTCGTCGTCCATCTGGGCCGCTCCTGTAGCAAACCTCGTGCTATCTTCTGCTCAACGGTTGGAGCATCTTCAGCCTGGGCCTGTAATTCATGTGGAGGTGTCGGTGAGGACGGGATGCCCGCGTTTCCCGTATGTCTCTTAGAAGACGCCCGACCCTCGAGCGTAGGCCCATGCTAGGAACGCCATCTCGTCACCCTCTCACCTCGTCCGATCCCGGCATGTCGTCCCTGTCACCACCGATCGCCTCTCTCCAAGGCATCGTGCCCTCTTACCGCCATGTCCATCTTCGAGGACGCTCCGGACGACTACATAACCATCTCGCTCCACATCTCCGAAACTGCCCGCAAGATCTTTACCAGCTATGCTGACCTGAAGCGCCTCCGCGAATCCTCGCGGCTGTGCACGTCCCACACGCCTGCATGGGCTACCTACCGGGAGTTCCGAAGGGGATTCCGCGCGTCCTGGGGCATCGGGGCAGAGGCGCTAGCGCTTATCCTCTATCATCTGGCGAGCGAGGAGGGCTTCAGCGGCGCGAAAATTGACCGCTATCGCGACGTCGCTGAGTTCGTATGGAAGTATGTGACTACTTGCCAACTCTCTGCGCCGACTTTATCTCACACATCTCCCAGAAAAGAAAACGAGGACGAGGTCGACGATGACGACTTCACCTGGCACAAGGAAGACGGATATTACACCGGCAATCCGGCCACCGCACCCATCGTTTTCCGGGCCCTCAACCTTGCTTTCGATATAGACGATCAGCGTAGAGCGTCCCGTCGGTCAAATGGTCCCAATGACCAGCGTTCTGCGTAACCTTTCGGTACCGCCACACGGCCCAATGGCCTCACTATCGTGCTTAGGTCAGTTCGTTCACTACGCAACCCAACTTAACCTGACATTCTTTCACACCAGTGTCCGACGTGTGTACCATTACACGTCCTCGTATCGTATACATAGTGTTCCATTGTACCCTCGACTGACGTCTACTCGTTCAGTCGGCCATGAAATTCAACCGTACTTTTTTTATTCATTTTCGTGTGCTTATTGTCACCGCCGGATATCACGCGTGAGATACGCTCGCAGAAAGACGCTTTAAAGCTCTGGATATAATTAAACGAGTGATACCGTACTGTTTTTAATGAGACCGTCTAGCCCGAATACGCGCACGAATGCGGCCGCCTCCTCTAAGCTGCCCTTGAAATGATCCTCGAGGCCCTCCGCGTGTCGACGGAACATTGTAGACTGCTTCGTTGCGTATCCACGAATACCGTCTTGCAGCTCCAAGTCGATGTTCTCGATCTGCACCTCGGCCCGGCCCGCCCACCAGATAGACCTTGAACTGCAGTACGCGGGCACGCGTACCATCTCGTATGCCAGCTTATACACTTCCTCAACCCAACGCATAGCCCTAGCTCTGCTTTTGACGAACTCGACGCGGAGATCTAGCATGAGAGAATGATCAGCGTTTCTAACGTATCGTCTGAATCCAGGCACGTACCATCATTGAGTTCGACCTCCGTGCCCTCGGCGACTTTGTACCAGATCCAAGGGATGCGGTAAGAGCTAGCGCCACTCGCGACGCCATTCCTCCTCTCCGAGAGAATGTCTTTAATGTGCTGTATCTCAACGGCGTCAATCGCGAGCAGCAGACTGTTATTCAACGGCCTGCACTCCTCGTCATGAAGGACCCGGAAGGTATCGTCCCATTTAGGAGGAACGTGTGCGGCGCGCTCATCATCCGTCAAGAACGACACTAGCGTTTCATACCTCTCCCTATGAAGCCTATACATCTCACGCGCCATGACGACGTTCTCCTGTATCGTGCGCTGCTTGTTGATCGTCCGGGTGGCCATACGTTGGCCGGTACCATAAGAGATCTTCCATTGAGCGACCGTTCCACGAACGCGCAGCTGTTGCCTCAAATTCTCGAGCCAGTCCTCCATCCCGGCGTAGCGCAGCCTCAATTCGACGAGGAGCACATCGAGCATTGGTGCCGTTCGCGCGACGTCCTTCTCCAACTCGGATGGCAGGAATAGCGCGTCCTTGTGACTTTCAACCTGCTGGTCATCTTCGCCTTCGTCGTCCGTCTCCATATCCGCAGCATTACCAGTTTCCACGCCCTCCAACTCCTGTAGTGCCGCATAAACGACCGGCATCATCCATTGCTGGTCCTTGCGGAACAGTCGCATCTCGCGCGCCAGCTCGTTACGCTTTTCCACGCGCTCCGTCGTTTGGAGCACGGTCTTGGTAGCTACCGCTCGCGACGTTCGCCATCTACATCATTGAAGTCAGAAGCCGTCGCATCTGTACGCTCAAAGTAGACTCACTGCATGACCTCAATCTTGAAGCCGCGAAGGACGAAGTTCAACATTGCAGACGCCTGAGATGCGCTCGTCGTTGTCTCGCCGACTGCATCTGCGTCTAGACCTTCGGCGCTTACAGGAAGTGTTGCTTCGTTCAGCGCTTTCGAAGCCAACTCGGCGCTCTCCAGTCGCGCCTTCTCCAGAGACTGTTCTATTGTCAAAATGAGTAACATTCAATAAGACTGAAGCAGCGGGTGACTTACTCCGAGCGCTTGACTCGTATGGGTTCTTCACCGCCTCCGGGCCGGACGTAATCTGCCTGCCCAGGGCATCCAGAGCATTGCGCGTCTCCCATTTCTCAGACCCAGATACCCAAGCGATTGCCGTCTCCCTGCTCTCTCGCCAGATGAGGGTGTGAAGCGCAGTGTAAGTCTCACAATGCTCCCGAGCTTCCCTCAACGCGATCTCCATCTTTTTCTGTAAGAAGCCACCTGGAACGCGTCAACACATACCCGAAATGCAGACCAGCTCCGCGCTCACCCATGTGAATGAACTTGCGCCAGTTCCAGAAGCTGCAGTAGAAATCGATTGTGTCGCGCATTGTACCAGGTCCCATCTCGCGCAGACTAGACGCCGCCGGATTCAGCCCTGCCCACGCCCTCTCAGACGCCTCGCCGTCCGTTTGGCCTGTGGCAATCAAGTACGCCAGGTTGAACCACAACTGGCAAATGACCAGATGGCCTGGGTTATGAAACTTAGGGATGCCGAAACTGACGTTGATCTTATGCAAGATCTTTTGGGCGCCTACGCCCACGAACGATCTTGGTTCCACCTCGAGCATCCGAAGATTGAGTTTCCGCGTGTACTGGCAGATGATATCGTAATAGATATGCAGCGAACTTGCGCGGACTCGTCGGACAGCGGCCGCGAAGATGAAATCCATGGTACTATGACTGCACATTTCGTGAGCACTTCTAGCGACGAATGAAGCTTCCGCCCTACGTACCGTTCGCCTTTGATTAAGGTACCGACCGTGTTGGGCCAAAAGAACTCGTGCCTTGAACAAAATACCGCGCCTACGCCTGTCGTCCGTAAACCCTTTCCGGTCTTCAAGTTGGCCAAAACGAGCGCGCCGAAGCGTGAGCAGTTGCTTAGCTGGAGCACCGTCAATGATACATACGCGTCGATGTATCTGCACACTACTAACCTCTTCGTCATTCAGGCGGGTCCTGATGAAGTCATCGTACTCTTTCTCCGGGACCATGTACGCCATGCCGTCGCCAAGGTAGGGGCTTGTCTCTTGCGTTGAGCGCGTCATCCTGTTCTTCGCGCGAAAGTTACAGTCCATGGACAGCTGCACAAGGTCGTTGAATAGCCTGCACAACAATTTTTCAGTCTCAAGAATCCCCAGTCGTCACAGGCACGTACGCATGGTTGTCTGCAAGCTCGGGAGAAATCAAACGTAGCTTGTCCACGACGTCTGTATTGATCCCGTCGTGCGGACACGCTGGACATATCATGGCCAACTCCCCCCAGTACGTCTGTTTGATTGACCGCTGCGCGTCATGGCCACGCCCGCCGCGCTTGAGTGATAGCAAGTGGCGATACTCGTGCGCCATGGTGAAAAACTGTTTCGATAGATTCTGAGTGGCGTGGTGAGCGCGGTCATGAACATGGCGCCAAAGATCCGCACGTACTGGCAGGTGAAACAGTCCAGATCCATTGGTCAGATATTCCAGTGCGTTATAGAAGTCGTACGCGTTGTCTTTGCCCGAACCACTATGAGCATTGAAAGCATCGAGCACCTCGAAAGTTGCTGCGGTTCGAGGTGCATCAGACGTAGCAGGGTACCAACGACCCGCCAAGAGCTGTTCCACGACTGATGCCTTTTGCGTCGCGCAGTTGCAGAAGCGGACGTTGAGTTGATGGAGACCGTTAGTGTGAAGGACCATGAACGCAGGGACAGGATGCCTGGGAAGCCTGCAGTACGTTCCATTCCAGTGACCGAACTGCACAACCAGCCCCAGTTCGCCCAAGGAAGACGGTTGCCATTCGTCGTTAAGCCATACCTGCGACAGTCGCGTTACTCGACATAAGCAAGAGTATCATTGTTTACTGACCTCTATGCGGTCGAGCGGATGGAGTTTGTGCGACTCCAGAATGCACTCGCCGCACCACCAAGTGCATCCGATGCAATTCGCAGACACGCAGCGGTAGAGTCGACCGACGTACTGCTTGCCTTTCGAACAACCTTCTTTCGCACAGCCCCTGACCTTGTTCGTCAAAACGGCCTTTGGCCTTCCGTCCAGTCTGAGTAGCGCGCGTAGGAATCCGAGTCGGTGGGGTATCCAATACAGCAGAGGATGATTCTGAGCAGACTCGTCACCGCCACTGCAACGACTGAGCACACCGTGGCGTACCTTCTTGGGTTTGGGCGTGTGATCTTCTCCCGCCTCTTGTCCTTCCTGCGGTGCAACTGTAGCATCGTTACCGGCGTCAGCACCGTCTCCGTCTGCCTCGTTGTCCGCTGCTGCCGTCTGCGGCGCTGCAGCGGTAGCGGGCCGCAAAGTCGGTTCAAGCTGATCTAAAGGAGTCTGGGGTATGTGCAGTTCGACCTGCGAGGAAGTGACGTTCCCAGAGGGGCCGATAGATATATGTTGTGACTGGGTGGCGTGTTGCTCGTGGTAGCCTCCCGGAGTCCGGCAAGCGCGCCTGCCTGTGGTCGGTACCGCTACCGGCTTGGCTTGCGAGTGTTGAGACATGGCTCATGAGCGGAAAAAGAGCAGGACCGGGCGAAGAGGGGAGAAGGCGAAAGAGGATGCAGGGTGCCGGCTGCTAATGAGTATAAAGTCGGATTGTATCTGCTTCCGTTGGCGTCCAACGGTTGAGAGACAGCCAACGTCACCGCGCCGATCGACCCCGCTATAATATTGACCATGCCCGCAAAGCGGATAGGATCAATGCCAGCGCTACAGAATGAGATATCCGTTACAGCGAGGCTACCACATTACCTGGGCTTTCGTGTATCACACACAAGAACGCTTGTGCGGCTGACGCTTGGGCGCCTGCGCTCTCCTACGAAAAGATGGCCAAATCGAATCATGCATATTGAGGCGTATAGTACTAGTTATCGTTACAGGGATGTCCGATGTCAAGCATGGGTGATCGAAAGCAACCTCGCAGGCGCTAGAGCGCGAACTTGAGAAGATCCCGGCAGATCGGCCCGGGCTGCTTCTAATCCACACGCGCCCGGGGAAGGGTGACTGCATACGTCGCCGGAGTGGTAGCTGTTTTCTTCATACGTTCAGACCCCTCCCCTGTACTCCAGAACACCTGTTGCTCTTGAGCCGCCGCGCGTAACCTGTCACGGTCAGGAGCAACGGATCCACCGCCCGCCCCGACATCGTAGAACCGTTCGTGTAGGCGCTCCATCGCTCGCATGGGCTCCCGAACAGCAGCACTCTTCGGTCCGCGTCCTAAGAGCAACGCCGCGTGCGGTTCGAATAAACTGTCCACGCGGTCGACGTTGAGATTGGTCAGGCGCCCGAATTCCGTCTGAGCGAAATCGGACTGCGAACGGCGTGACTGCTGGCGCGCATCGTGCTCGTCTTCACGAATCCCTTGGAGAATGTCGGCCGCCCACACACGTGCGGTGAAAGCCATAGCGCGCTGCGTATTCGCCCGACATTTCTCTTCGTAGTGTCGGGCCACGGAGCCGCGCACGCTGTTCTCGGTGAGAAGGCTCAGGATGTCAACGGGCACCCAGTAGAAGAGGATCTACGCTGACATGAGTACGTGATGTACAGCAAACGGCTACCAGCTCACCCGTCCGTCGTCGCGTTGGCCATGTATAACATGCCGTATGCCCAGCTGGTGCAAGTGCGCTTCCTCGTAGTGTCTAAGACCTATGATGTCGACAACCTCGCGACGGGAGGATACCAATGCCACGACGCCCCCGTCGCTGTACTCGGTAAACGTCGGCAGATACTGTCCATTTGTCGCCTTTCGCAGTTCAATGACATCCACGTTCGATAGAGCGGAGAGGTCCACAGTGAACCCGCAAGGATGGTTTGGGCAGACCCACAGATCGGAATATGCTGGGAGATAATCCGATGGCGCGCGCGTGAGCGTGAAATGAACATTGTCGATGAGGGCCTTCACATAAGGTGCAGTCTTTGGAACACGGACAAGCCAAGGAACGTGCGCGTCAAGATTAACGAGGGGCTGCTCGCGGGCAACCGTGCTTGTAGGCAACGGCGATTGCGGCACGCCACGCTCGACGAATGTATCGTCAGGGTGCCTAACAAACTCTGGTACTCGTGCGATATGACGCAGAGCCAGGTCAGCCTGTAGCGGTGTGAGTGATTCGCGATCATCTGGTGAAGGACGCTGAAACCGACCGCTTTTGCCCATGTGTAACGATCATCGCGAGCCAGAGTCGGCACGGTCTGCAGCCCTGGGTTGGGCTGCTCTTGCTGCGCAGCCATGATGGACAGAGGAGAAAATCGAGGCTTCACATCGGTCAAAATCTCGTGCTCGTGAGCCCACGGCCGTCGGCACCGAAAATGGATTGTCTCCGCCGCATTGCTCCGCATGGAATGCATTGGAGATAGCGCTAGCTACCGCTTCGACGTTTACATGGACGTATCAATTGCCTAAGTACATGCGAGCCCACCGCTCCTTCTGACGGAGCCACGTCCGCCTCAGCGAGCGAGATGTGTCCCGATCCTCTTGCAAACGTTGCCGCGCGGGTTCTGTTTCCTGCTGCTCCACGAGATGTACCAGCGCCAGACCAGTGTCTACGATGCTTCGGCCCGCGCCGAACATCGTTCGAACCAGAGTCTCACGGGCTGCAATGGCGTCTCGACGCCAGCGGGTGAGCTGAAAGCGTGCGGCGTGAAGACCCCTGTCCGCAACGTCTATCATCTTCTTCACCTTCCACATGCGGAAATTGTATTGTGCAGTCCGCTCGAGCGCGTCGACCTCGGTTCGCAGAGGGAGCCAAGTCGCACGCGTGAGCAACCGTTCTTGATCCCACCACAACCCGGGACCTGACTGCTGATCATCAGCGGCCTGAAACGAGCGCGACGAGGTGAGGGATTACCTGATAAGCAGATACTGGGCTTGGGAACCAGAAAGTAACACATTGGGTGGCAAGATGCTCGGCGAGATGACTCCAAGCCAGACAATCAATGCAGCGCATGAACAGCCAGGGATTATCGCGGTCCAATTCAATGAGACCATCCCGATCCGTCTCCCTGACGCCACAGTCTGGACCAACACCCAGGTAGCTGGCGATCAGAACAGCCTCGCCGATTGTGAGTTCCATGGGGTCGATAGTATGCGCGCATTCGGGGCAAGTCCAGACGCCCATTTCGGGCACGGACGCCGATGGACGCGCACAGACGTTTCCGACGGACGGCAAAGCGGCACGAACTGCTTCAGCCAAGCGCTCGTCGGGGATCATCCGATCCGCTTCGAGATCTGCACGGATGTACGATGGCAGATGCGCGTCTGCAGCCTCCAGAGATACCGATGGTGTCGCTGGATAATGAGCGCTGGAAGCGTTTGTGTAGTCGGTCCAGTCGGCGGAGTACGAGTCGACAGCAGCCACGATAAAATTGGCCATCTGTGTCAACAAGGGTATCAGCGAGGGAAATGAGCGGAGAAGTGGCACCGCAGGCGCACCGTGAATGTACGCGCAATTTCTGCGCGTACTGGTTCTCCGCCTCCAGCCGGTGGCACCGGTTCGCCCGCAAGTACGCGAGCGAACTCGGGAGGGGCATAATCCAGTAGGGACTCCGCCATGCAGAACCGAGCGGGATACGGCGAGCACTTATACTCTACCGCCCAGGTACCACCGCGGAGCCGATGCGCCAGAACGAAGACGGGCCGTCGATATGCTCCCGCAGACCGCCTCGGAAGGCCTTGAGCACAGGGACGCCGCCGTGAGGGCAGTCAAGATCATGGTGGTGAGAAGCAACGCCGCGTGAGAACGCGCTGTTTGGCAAAGACGCCGATGTGGCCAACTATGCGCCTTGTATTCGTACCGTGATGAACGTAGTTCACCTTTAGACTTCGCATCTCGCACAATGTCTGGATTATGGCGGGAGTTCCCGCTGACGGCATGCTGAAGTCGTTGGTAGAGTCCGGGTCATGCGATGCGCAGCCTGCGTGCCTCGGCCGCTGTGCAGAATGTTCTTCAGAACAAGCTGACTCCCTGTAGACCAGAGTATGTCCGCTGTGTGCGTATATCAGTATGATAGAACAGTTGACGTTCTGCGGCCAGTACTGTAGCCTTGGGCGGGGACGCGATTGTAAGTGCCGCGACAGATCGCATGGCTTTAGCGTTTGTGAGGGACAGCGGTAAGAACATATAATTTCGTCACATTGTATCTACATACGCCAAGCCAATTTCTGGGGTGACAAACATACTTGAGTCGTGGTCTGGCCAGTAGGCGTTATGCTTGTCCGAGTCGTCGGCCTTGCAGCGGCATCCCGATCGTAAGTCAACCCACAGGCACCCGCTTGATCGGTGTCGCGATAAAGCATACACCGCGTCCTGTCTTTCGCCACAACTTACATCTGAGATGGAAGGCGCAATAGATTTCGAGCAAGCTTCTGAGTATGCATCTGCATATATCTCAGCATCTCAAATAAAACTGATGACACTCGTTCTACTAACCTTTAGCGTAACGGACAACTCCATCGACAATGAGAGCCAAGGCAGCGGCGCAACAGATGACGGTTCCGACGTAGGAGTCGTTGGCTGGGACGACACTGAGTCAGAAGAAGAAGAGACGCAGCCGTCAGTGCTTTCAATAAGATCTTAGCCCAGTAGCTGACAGTAGATAGTAGAACGTTCCGGGAAACTGGTTCCCGTCAATTGTCACCCGAGGGATGGGAGTCGCAGCGCTCGCCCACTCCTGAGATCATCGGTCGTGGCAGCCGGTTATACGACGACGATGATCTCGGTTTGAATGCCACTCGCGCTCAACGACCCGCATGGCCCGCCGTCGAGCTCGAGGACAGCGAAGAAGTTGTCCCGCCTCCGCCAAGCTCTGGTGGACCGCGTAAGTGCGCCTGCTCGTGCATCAACGTCTAACACTCACGTGTAGCATATCTCTAGCGGATGGGTCCTCCAACAGGTTACCGGGGAACCAGTTCTTCATCTTCGTGGAGGTACTGCGTCTGTTGGCGCCTCCGATAGATCTCATGCCGTGCGGTCCATTTTGGGCTCCAGGCGGCGTTGGTCACGATGCCATCGTTAACCTGACGAACGTTGGACGTGTGTGTTCGCTGTGGCATGATACGTCGAGATCTTTGGGCTCAATCTGGGGCGCCTTCGTCCCTGCTGCCCGAGACGAACAAGTGTTCCGCTTGGCTCTGGAACGAGCGGGAGATGCGCCTGTACGATTAGCGTATCGCGTCTCCATCCCCAAGGCCACCGTGGATGCCGAGATTCACCGGGCCAGCGCTATATACGCTGGGGTTGATTGCCCGTGGCGTAATTTTGCCAGGATACTCCAACGCCGTCTGCCCAACCTACGAGTGCTCATCATTCTCCCGGATACAACGGATATGCCGCTCTCGGTGCTGCGTTCATACGCCGAACATCTGGATGCCCCCCTACTCATCATCTGCGAGACGTCGTCACCGCTTCTCTTCATTGCACCCAGACTGCAACGCCTGCGCCTCAAGTTCTACACTCTAGCGCAGCTCAGGAGAACCTTGTCATCGCTCGCATCAGTATCCCTCCAGCGCCTGGTGATAGAGGACATACACGAAGTTGAAAGGGTCGATTTCACGGCACTGCTAACTGAGGTCAAGACGGACCGCATCGACTTTCTTCGTATCAACGCCGCCGAAACCCTCGCGTCAGGCCTTGTCATCGAGGGTCCGCGCATTTCGTGCCCAGAGATCAAAACGATTGATCTATCGGGTCCGGCGTGGTTGAGCGCTCCGCATGCAGAAGACGCCAAACTCTTCAACGTGGACGTGGACGAGCTTCTATGCGTATTGGCCGGCATACCGCTTATCGAGACTCTGCACACTCGCGGGCGTGCCGAGTGGGACACGGAGCCTCGCGTCAAGGTACACGCAGCCCATCATGTACAGCTGCCCGTGCAGTTGAATCGCGCCCATACCATAGTTCTCTCCGGCGTGATGTGCGAGGAGACGGTTACCCTGTTGCAAGGGATACGCGCACCGCTTTTGACATACCTGGAGATGTTCTGTGATATGCCGGCGCCGCCAATTCACGATCTGGTGTCTACATCGCGAGAACGCGTAGCCACTGCGTTGGTTGCCGCCCAATCCCACCCTGCACCGAACGTCACGCAGCTGATGCACTCATTGGCGGAGATCGACATCGTCTTGCGGAACGGAGGTCATCGCGCTATTTGCCAGAGTTTGCGGGCCATACCAGGATTCCCGTCGAGCTTGGGACCTCGTGTGCAGGCGGTCGAGCCCGACTGGCAGACGGCATCAGGAATGGCGGAATCGCTCATGCAGGTCCTCGACGAAGCGGTGGCGGACGGCCCCATAGCCCATAATGGGTTCCTGTTGCGGGCTGTTGTCGACGCTGCGCGAGAGGCGATTCGCGCTGATGAGCCCGAGATGCCGCCGCCGGCTGCTACAGAACTGCGAATCAGGGTGTCTAGAAAGGGAGTGAACTTCGTCGCCACCGTGGGCGCACGGTCGTGTGCGCTTAAGTTCGCGATGGCAGCCTCGCGCAGCAATGAATGGTCGTATTCTCATCATCTCGCTGGCTGGTCTCTGAGCGCGTCGACGACGTTCGGGGTCGCCTGTATGCTCTTCGGTCTCGAGCTGCTCAAGCCTCGGGTGCTGAGTTTTCAGGACGACCCCTTGCACCACGATGTGGATACCGTGGGCACCAACGACGGCGATACTCTTCGAGAAGTGCTCCGCCGATACGACGAGACCATGGAATTGCGGGTTGATCCGACGTACAGGGGCTGGACGCACAAGCAACGTTTCCTGCTATTGGACGTCCTTTCCGATCCAACGACGTTGCCACGCCTCAAGAGTATGACAGCCGTCTGCGCCATACAGCAGGGGGATGATCAGTATGCAATGGCGCGTTACCTCGGACAAGAAGATAATGGGCATGAAGACGTGCTGGACGCCGTATTGGATATGCTCTCAGCACGGACGAGGGGAGGCGCGCGACTAGAGAGAATCACGCTCGAGGGCAGTTTCTGTTTGCGTGAGGCCTACAGGCGTCGTCTGGAGGAGCTGGTTCCCCAGGTCTTACCCTCCGTCATGTGTTGTCATCCCGCAGGGGCTTTGGCGTGCGATATGTGTCGTGGGATGATGTGAAGCGCCGTCGGACTGTCCATGTAGTAATCGTAGTGCTACTATGTGGGTTCAGGCGGATGGAAGTGAATGAGAAGGGCCTGCATGGGAATGATTAAAATACCAAGACGACGTGTGAACTAAGCCGGTGCGCATCAGGTGTTCAAAACGTTCAACGTTCAACTTGAACTTGCACTCTGCGCTCATCTTTGTCCGCCAGACCCTTGGCCCACCATAGACCTTATGTCCTATTCGTTACTGTCGCAAATAGCTTCGGTGTTTTCATTACGCGGACCTTTCTTACGCCTACATCGTCAGCGCACAAAGCACAGGCCACTGGACGAATGTCTGTCATCTGTCGCTCTTGAACCGCATCGGCTATGTATACAGCCTGGATAGTGTTCTTCTTTTTGAGTCATACTGGGCCGATGTTACACATTCTATGCGGATTCGGGTCCAGTGGGGAGAACGTGGCGCTGGTGCACGCGACTTTGCTTCCGCGACCGGCCGACGGCGACGATACAGTTTCGCGCAACTACGGTGTGCGTTGCGCGAAATGCTTCTTTTCAGGCTGTTCACTAACATGTATTGCACAGGAGGTCGTGCTGCGAATCCGGCGCCGGGGTGCTATTGGCGTATGTGCGAGTGGGCGAGCGAGGCGTGCCTTGCGAGCTCGAGGCGGATGCAAAACAACGGGACTTTGCCTCGGATAACGCTGAGGCTAGAGCCCGTCACGGCGTCGGGTCCGACGCTCGCTCCCCTTGGCCACCAGATCGACGCAAATGTCGTTTGTCTTCGCCCTCGATCTGGACGTCGACTCCTGCTTTTTGAGGGGCCTCTATCCGTACTCCTTCGCTTCACTCTTCCGCACCTTCGACATCTTGCACCATGCCCAAACTCGCGGAGATCAACGGCCCGCGGGATGACTTCCTCATGCGCTTCCTAGGCGAAACTGTCACCACGGGCAAACAGACGCACGCGCAGAACTCCGATCAAAATCAGGTTTACCAGACCCTGGCCCGGGCCCTCGTACTGGCTTTCGGCGTTGACGACCCTCTACACAACGACCGCCCGGATGAGCGCTTCTACGACATCGCCTTCAACGCGATCCCCTCGGCTGCCGACATGCCGGACCTTCCCCCCGATCAAGAGAAAAAGCGGGACGCTGTCATCGCCGAGCTTGTTGATGTAAGTACAGAATAGGTCGCACGCACGGAGGACCTGTTCTGATAACTCGATAGACCGTGAAGAACTTCTACAAGCGCAAGCGCCACCAGACCAGAGCCGGCGGTAAGCAAGCGCTTCTCGATATGAAGCATATTCAGCGCGTCGTCGACGCTTTCGCGCCCGCGCCGCTGCCTCCGAAGGACCTGGACGTTTATCAAAAGTATTTCAAGAACCGCTTCCTGTCAGCATTTGAAGAGGTCTGGAAGGAGAAGGAAAAGGCTGCGGAGGGAAATGAAACGTTACTGGCGCAGCTGCGCCGAACTCAAGGCGGACAGGAGCGAGCGTTTGCAGCGGAGAGACTGGGAAAGGAGACGCCACAGACGAAGCAGGAGGTGGCGAAAAAAAAGGAGGAGCTGCACGCGCAAAGACTGAAGGATTATCGAAAGCTGTGGGGAGCCCCGCTTGACAAGCCCGTGAATTCGCGCGCGTGGTATGTGTATTTCATGCGCTACCTACCGTCCAATCCTGATCTGAGTGTTGCCAGGATCATGCCCGAAGCTAGCGCCTTCTTGCAGGCATTCTTATCGTGGTTCGCGACACGGTACGGTGTCGCCTTAGTGCTGAATATCGCGGGTGGCAAGGACAACAGTCTGCCAGAGGCGTACAGGTGAGCGCGTTCGCGTTCGTCTTCTCATAACGGTCACGTCTAATCTTCATGACCAGCTTGTTCGCAGCGGGGCAATGCAAGCCTGGAGCAGCACCATTGGAGGACTACGTCGCACACACCACTGCGGAGACGAAAGTGACAATGTGTCAATTCGTGCGCGACCTGATGACCGGTCAGTTCGCCACCACGCAACCGTTGCCGTTGCCGGACGCCCACAAGGAGGAGGAGGACGACGCTATTTCCTCAACGCTTGCAAAGGTGAGTCGGGTGGATGATTGTTTCAACGGCGCGCTAATCAATGTCTAGGAGTTAGAGCTGAATCCCATGCGGCTAATCGGGAAGGACGAGGCTGGGGAATGGCAAGTCGGGGGCGGGGATGACGTCGGGAATATGGTACGCATAATTCCTGTATAACACAGCGTCTCGTACAAAGCTGATCTTATCTAGATCAATGCCTCCGGCGGCGGGCAGTCAGAAGGCCGGTTTGTCGGCAATGGCAAGGCCGCGGATACGGGTTTACTGAGCTCGCACAATGATTCGGGGAGCACTCGGCGCGGTGACGGAAACGAGACACAGGACATGGTGAGTCGAAGATAGATCCCGCCGCGCGAGTTCTCTTTTGACGGGTTTTTAGGCAGTCATTCCGGGTACTGCACGCAATACTTCTACCACTATGCGTACGAGCGTCAAAGGGAAGGAGGTGGACAGGAGTCGGATGGTACAGGCATGGGTGACGGGCAGCGGGGGAGAGGAAGCGGGTAACCCTTCAGCGTCTGGTCCTGTCCTCGGGGGTCGCGAATGGGATGGCAACATCTCCGACGGGTCCGTAGGGAGCGAAGGACAACTCCGGCGGCGCGCGGGGCAAGAGACGCGGAAACCGCCAGGTTCCCCTGAAATACTCGGCCTCAGTCAAACGAGCGTGTATCGAAGGGTTCCCGGAGAAGCACCAGGGACGGAAGCTGCAGACGACGACGAAGAGTTTGCGCAGGCGTTATGGACCAATATCGCAGACGCATTCGCCAACATCGAGGATGGCGCGGACGGCCACCCTGTCGATCGTGAGCGGACGTTGTCGCTTCCGCCGCGCACGTCCACGCCGGAGACAAGTAGTTCGGTCTACGCAGCTCGGCGCGCAGCTTTGAGCCAGACTCCAAGCATCCAATCGGATTTCGACGTAACGCCGAACGTCACCAGGACCAGGCAGGGCTCAGAGCGTAGCGCCCCGCCTAGCGAAGGTCCTGACGATAGTGACATCGAGATGGCCGACGCGTACGTTAGTGGGCTATGGAAGGACAGGCGTCAAGCAAAAACGAAGCAAAAGGCACCGCGCAAGCTTTTACTCGGCGCGATCAAGCGCTCGCGTGTGGGAGAAAGCCGCAAGATACAGAAGCTCCCGCCGAAGATTGGCGACAAGCAACCTACAGGGGCGGAGACATCCTCGAAGCCTGCGGAGGCGCCCGCGCTGCCAGCGAAGAGCATCGGGGCCTCGTCGGAGGGTTCCGGCCAGCGCGGACGTGCGATACAGCGGATGCGTGCACAGACAGCTGGTGATGGAGGCCGTACGGTCTTCTCTCGGTCGCCGGTGGCCCGGAAGAAGCGGACACGCAGAGTTTCGTCGCCCGAGGAGATCGACAGGATCAGCAATGATGGCGATGGAGACGGCGAGACCCAAATGGGACCGGTTGGGGGGTCAACTGGTTTGATGGATGTCGACGACGAGGAGCAGAGGACGCAGGTCGGTCCCAGCCGTTTCATGACAGCGCGTAACCAAATACTGATGGATTGTAGACCTGGATTGCCGAGCATGGCGTTGAAGGCTGCAATTCTGAGGGTGAAGGAGCGTGGCGGACATACTTGAGCAAATCCGTCGGCATGCCCCGCCGTTCAAGGATCGCCAGTGCGATACTTGACTTGCCACCCGCCATGCGTCCAGTATACGCTGATCTTGTCGACACTATGGAGGCGTTGCTGAAGGGTGATAAGGTTTGGGTGAGCTTGTTTCGTTGAACCATGATGGGCGCTATGCTGACAGGCTGTGAAGGATATTGGGGCGGGCGGGCAACTCGATAATCGCAAGCGGCCGATGCTAGTCTCAGCGATTACCACCAAGCGTGGCGCTCATCTACCCGAAGGAGTTCCGGACGGTTGGGGCAGCGGGATGATCGCGTGGTGGCGGAGTCTACAGCCAACACAGCGTGGCGCCGAACAAGCAGTGAGGGATTTGGCGCCACCGTCGATGGAGATGGGATGGGGAACCCTCGGCGAGGCGTCTGGATACAAGGGCCCATTCCTCTTGGTTTGGTGCATGATGTACTGGGCACAGAACGGCAACGACATGGACGGTTGGAGGATAGTGGCGGAGGATATGATTTCGGTCTTCAAGGTTTTATTGACCGTTCGCGGAGGGCGATCACGCGAAGCGGAAACGCAACAAGCAGCGGGAGAGGTGTCGCAGGGGGAGAGAGCGCGGAAGAGAGTGCGTACGGCGAAGGACTCTGGGAAGGACGCAGGAGACATGGCTCCTACAGGTACGAGAAGTACCGGTCAGTTTTGGACGCAGTGCTGACCATAACTTAGGGGACATCGCTCAGGGGAAAAAGAGCAGCAGGAACGCGGGACGTTCCAGGCGCTAAGCAAAGGGTTGGCGTGCATGGCGTGCAGGCGCGGTTGTATATAGGGTGTTGTATTTATTGGGCGCTGTATCTATTAAGCTGGGTACATGCTGTAGATACAGATACAACGAATTGCTGTGTTGTAACAGTAGATTGGGCCTAGGGTCTACGGGAGAGGCAAGATGCGCTTGGGAAGATTGACTGGCAGTATGTGAGTGGTGTGTGGTGGGAAGATAGTGAAAAGGGGGGACGTACCGGCTTCCGAATAAGCGTAAGCGTAGTATCGCGTGATGCAGTCATCCGGCTTCTGCACGCGAGGGCGGGAGATAACGATCTTCGTCTGCGTACGCGGGATCCTGAGGTCGGAGACGCGGAAAGAGGACCAGGTGCGCTCGGTAGCCGTGGCAGTCGTGAGAACCGTTATGAGGTCGGTCTGCTTGATCTCAAAGGCGAGAAGTACAGCTTCATATTGACGAAAGCGGAACTCGGCGCGAGCCGGGCGCGCCTTGAGTATGAACGACGTGGGTTCCTTCTCATTCTGTTGAACGACATATCAGCAGGCAGCGTCAGTGACGGTCAGAATGTAGACACTAACCTCGTAGAAGTACCAAACCTCAAGCTGTTGAGAGAGCGGCGCAGGCGCGGGCTGGAACGAGATGATCTCAACGCTGGGGGAGCGAGAAAGAGGGGCACGAGGCGGGGTTGGGGGAAGAGCAGCGTCGTCGGTGAGATCAATGAGAAGCGATTCTTTCGCGGCGGCGGGAGCGGCAGCAGCGGGTGCAGCTGTTATCTATGTTAAGGTATTAACACTCGCAACAATGATATACGGATGGGCAAAGGCCTACCTGTGACGGCTGTTGAGCAGAAGACGCGGACTTCTTTGCGCGGGACTTGGTGGAAGACGTCGACTTGGTGGCTCGAGGCATGGCGGCGCGGGGCTTGGCGGCAGGCGTTTTGGGCTATAAAAACGAAATTGAGAACGGTTCAAGTCGACCGACCTAAGCGAAGACACACCTTGGACACCTTAGGTACCTTCTCAAGTTGGGCTATGGCCCGCTTCGACATGGGCTTACCGTCGACCGTGATACGAGAGTCGAGCCTGAACTCTCGTATGAGTCGGCGTTGGAAGGCCGTCAGTGCCTTCGAGACGGGTACATGGAGGGGTCCTGGGTGTTCAACGTCACCCGGATGGTTCTCGTGGCACTGAACGCAGGAAACGGTCAGAATAACGCGATGGCACGGATGATATTGATAAAGCGTCGTACCCGGATGAGGTGGCACCCTAGATTGTGGTTATCGACCTTGTATTGAAATATAGGGCCGTACGGGAAGTGACCGTGGGCGTCACAAAGATTCCAGTACTTCGCGATCAGACCTGGGTCTGGCTCTTCAGCGAACTGCTTGACGTAGTCGTGGAGGAGCTGCTCGGTGGGAGTGCGCGACGCCATGGCGGTGTCAAAGAAGAGGACGGGTTGCGGGAAAGCTTTATATGGGAGGGGCCGCAAGGAACCGGAACACTGCGCGCGCGCATGGAAAAGTTGGTTGGGCATAGATGGAAAGAGCGCCGGGCCCAATTGCAGACTATGCAGCGCGGCATATCCTCCACTCAGCCCGAGGTCGTAACTGGGACGCAGTTAGTGAAGATTGTCGCGTACATAATCCGCTCACAACAGTGGAACGAATACGCACATAGAGGCGTTGTGGGGATCTGGACAGACGTATTTGCTCCCGGCGGATGTCGTGACAGCAAGCCGTACGTGATCGAGATCCAGTTGAACGTGGCGTTGCGGGTAGAACTACGCCACGCCCACACGTCCGTGCAGCGGGCGAAGATTCTTATGATAAAGGAAGTGTCAGTGAAGTGGCTCAACGATCCCTAGCAAATACGGACGAGCAAGAAAGCGGAAATGAATCTTCTGGCCCGAAATGCATATCAGCATACCACCAGAAGTGTATGTTGCGCCTTTTCCGAAATTCAGGAAGAGCCTGGCCATATCGGGAGTCGATGCGATAGAGGGTCCGGACGATAGGAACAGAGATTGTGGGTTTACTTCCGAGTGCGCGATGACGGTGGATTGCATGACACGGCGTGGGCGAGAGGGCCCGGAGAGCTACAGGCACTGGCGTGTTGGGATGTGGCTACAACTGGTGGATCGTATATTTATGCAGAAGTATCAAGGTGGTGAAGTATCAAGGTGGTACGCCAGTACGTGACGGTCGGGAAGACGAATACTATGCGAGATCAACGCGTCAAGCGGAACATGACCATGTGATCGCGTGTCGGGGAAGGTCGGGGAAGGTCGGGGCCGGCGTTGAACGTTGTTCATCTCGTACGCCCATGTCCGTCCCCTGTCACACAGTCCTGCTACTCTCCGCTACTCTCCGCTACTCTCCGCGCACGATACCGTTTGATGCTGTGGACGTGTTCGTTTGTAAAGCACCTAGGCGGTCCGCGGGTTGTTCGAGGAGTGAGAACCGCGTCGACGCGCTTGCTGGCGCGCGCGCGCGCGCGTTCGAGTCCGATTGTACGTATACACTTTCGGCTATCCTTACAATACTGATTCCCTGCGGTGGTTTGTAAGGGACGAACGGGCAAGACTGTTGGCGACGGGGAGTCAGGATGTTGGGGACGAAGCGGGCGGCGGGTCCCGGCGAGCGGGGCGCGGCGTCGGTAGCGGCGGAGCGATGACGGCGGGGAGGCGACGGACGGCGACGGACGGCGACGGAGAGTTCGGCCGACGTGCGGCGAGGGTGGACAAGGGGGGCTGGCGGGTTTTAGTGCAAAGACTGCCGATATTACATTTCTTCGGTTCCCGTGTGCCTTGATTCGGGTTACACTATTTTATATACTTCCAATGCATTTTTTTCATTATCGCAATATCTTTTGAGCTTTCAACTTGGTTTCGGGCGACTCGGCCAATGCCGAAATGGCTATCTGGGTGAGATAGTAGGGTTACAACACGAAGAGGTAGGTTGAAACCCAGGACGGCCTTATTGGCCAGTGGTTGCATCCCGTCAACTGCTACGGCTGGGAGACTGGCTCACCAGACTGGTGAATGCCAATAGAAGCAAACGCCGCGGGTACCGGAACGTTGACCGCCACGGGCAATGATGCCGCCGAATGATCCATCACGTATGGTTGACGACGTGGGAGATTGGGCATTTGCGGTGGGTTTAGACCGCCTGTTGTCTGCGCCGGCGGCGACCCGGTAACTACGGACGCGTCAATGCACGTCTGCAGGTTCGAATCGATCCCAAACGCGCCTGGACTTGCCATCCGCACGTCGCCGTCTCCGCTGCTGCTACTCTCCTCATCTTCATCACCGACAGCCGGCTCCACAGGCAGGAACAAGTCCTCCAAGTCGCTTGTGCTGCCGTCTGGTCCGTCCGCGTTGTCAGACCAGGAGCTATCTTCATCAGCGTCACCGGCAGCGTCGTCGTCGCTACTCATGAGGACTATTACTTCCTGGGCCGGAATGCCTGCCATATCTGTAGCAGAGCGGAAGTGAGAGCAGAGATCAAGATGGTTCGTTTTCAAGAAGCGCGACGTCGCCTATAGTGTCAAAACGATGTTATTTGATGGGTTCTTCGGCAGTTCGCGGCATCAACGGCGTCGTGGTGTTTTGGCGCCGAGCCCTGTGGCGGTTGATATACGAATTTCAACTTCCGTGCTTATTGGGCGCATCAAATTGCTTTAAGCGAGTGAATGATAACGTTCAGTTCGACTCGGAACCTCGGTCAGACCAATGTCGTCGGCGCTTAAGTGCAGGTGATCTCACGCGTGGTGTTCGGCGTTGCCGTTCGGCGTCACTGGCTTCTTGTCCTCACCCGTCATGGCTCCTCGCGCTCCCTCTGCTGCGTCTCAACAGCAAACCGCTCGGGTCCGCGCTGAAGGTCGCGCACGCCAAATGTGCGGCGCTGGGCCGTTGACTGATGTTGTTGACGCTGCGCTTCTAAGGCAAGAGCTCACGCAGTTCTATACGCGTCTTGAAGCGTCCGATGCATCGCCTGGTCGTGTCGCGCTCAACCGTGCGAACCGGGCCTTCGACTACCTCTCCGATGCTTCGCGGGCCACTCCTCGGATTTCTAAGGGTGCTGCGCGCATAGCGTGGGGGCTTTTGTTGGAGGAGATGGTGCGCACTTCACGGCGAAAGACCCCAAGTCCAGTTCGTTAATTGATCTACAGAAATTCGCGATCAAGTATAACGTGACCGCGTCCGTTGATCCCCTCGTTCGTTTTCTCGCCAAAGCCAGGGATGAAGCAAGGCGCAATCACGCTTGGGACATGGGCAAGGTCCGTCGCCTCCTCGCAGACGGCTGGCCTTCGAAGCAGATCGTTCTTCTACTGCCGAGCCACGAGTCGGGACCAGTGCACTGGTGGTTGACCGTTCGTAAGTCTTCGATTCCACGATAGTATCCTACAAGCTGGCGTCCCTCGCTTACAGTCTTGACCTGTAGCTGAGATACAAGACAAGCAACCTATACTTCGACAGGCTATATACGACGCCGCGTACAGGCTTCGCTCGTCTGCTTCGCCGAGACGACGCTCTCCAACGCCTGGACCTCCAACTGCTACTCAGGGAGGCAGCCGTCCTCAGAGACAAGCCGCGAACGCGACCAACGCTGCGTTGAGCGCAACCATCATCTACGACGACCATGTCGATGAAACTTACGTGCCCAGCGATATACCTCGTGATGAGGACGTACCTCGCCCTGCTACGTTCACTTTCGGGGCGAACGCCGCGTCAGACTTCACCGCGCAGGCGCCGGCACAGGCGTCTGTCATTCTTCCACCCCCGCCGCCCCCGGCTGCAGGAGCTCGCCGTGCCCAGCCATCCCCATGGCTGCCTCCTGCTGGGTTCACGGCTGACTTGAAATGGGATATTGAGGATTACAACGTCCTCAAGGCCCAGCTCTTATCTCACCCGCGCGGGGTTCCCATTCCAGAAGGCTTTCTATGGGAGCATCCGAGCCTGCATGGCCTCAGGGTGTACGCTGATGGACAGCCGAAAATGTTCGAGGTTCGCTTCGATTCTGCTAACTCTCGACGACTTTCATTGACCTGCCGCATCCAGGTCTCGTGTACCAATTGCCGCAGAAAGCTGCGCAAATGTATCGGCCGGGGATCGAAGGCGTGTCTCCCATGTTATTGGGAGAAAGGTAGCCTGGGCAAATGTGAGGGCGGCGTACCTCCCGCAACGCCGGTGGTGAAGCCTGATTTCGAGGTGCGCAAGGCCTTCCTGGAAGAGGTCGAGTTGGCCACTGGTGAATTCCCGCATCACCTGGTGAACAAAGCCACAGGTGCGCTTCATCCGCCTCACTAGTTCCGCATGATTAATGGAGCTTCGCAGGTCGCGCCAGGCATGGTAGTGATGCAGCAGGGACCGGCAACCCGCCGGCGTACGATCCACCAGCCCCACGCTATAGCCCGCCGAGACCAAGCATCGTTGCTGCTGTAGGAGAGGAGACGCCGCCGGCGTCCGCTCCCCCGGCTGCGCAACAGCGTGGCAACCAGGTTCGAGGGTCAGTCCGCGACGATCAAAACGCCGATCCTGGCGCCTCCAATAGTGCCTCTGCCCCCACCAACGTATCTGGCGTGCGCGGTCGCCGTCAGCGCCGCGAGCCAGACAGCGGAGGCCCCGATGGCGTACCCTCTATCGCCGCGGCTCCTGGCGATAGCAGCAACACCGCTGCACCGGCGGTCGTTCAATCCTCCAGCGACGTTGTTATGCCGCCTGCGTCAGCTGTCCAGCCAGAGGATGTTGCTATGGCCGACGTTACCAACGCTCCAGATGCGGCGATGGCCGATGTTACCAACGTTACAGACGTTGCCATGGCCGATGTTAGCAACGTCCCGTTGGTGCGGCCCCCCAAACGCCAGCGCCCTTCACAACTTGGCGAGGACGAACGCGCCGAGGGCGCGGATAGCCCTGCGGTCGCGCCAGCGTCTCGGCCGCGCAAGCGCGTCAAGCGTCCCGTCCCGGCACAGTTATCCCCTGTCGAAGAGGATCCCGGCGAAGCGCTTCCTGTTGCAGCTCCCGCAGCAGACACTCCCCCGGCGATCGTGATCCCTCCTCGTCCTCGCCCTGTCCTAAGCGACTCTGATCAGGATGAGACAAGCCGAGCTGCTTCCCCGATGCCCAGGGTTGCTGGTAGAGGTTCATCAGGGCCTGCGAACGCCAAACGGGCAGACAAAGGGAAAGCGAAAGCGCTCCCCAAACCCAGGCGCACCGGTACGCAACAGCGTGATTCTGCTGGAGCCGCAAATCAGGGGATACAGTTCTACGACAACGTTCCCGGCACGCGTACTGTTTCTCGGGCGGGTTCGCCTGTCTTCCGCGCACGCCCCTGGCCTGGTATGTCGCGTCTGTTTTGACCGCTGACATTCTACCTTTGCTGACGTCTTCCCAGCGATACCCGGTCCGGATATGCAGGTCGCTGGCGACCGAAGGCACGACATCCCATCCGGTATCACCAGGATCACCCACCCTCAGCCGGCTCCTACACCCGCGTCTGCCATCAACCTCTCTGGCGATATTTATCTTGCAAACCACGTCGAACGTGCCTTGCGCGAGGAGGTCCGAGACGTCCGTAACGAGGTCCGAGACATACGCGACCAGGATCGCGATTGGTGGACCGGTCGATATCAGAACGACTTCGTCTTGCCTCGACATCGCGAAGTACTTGATTGCGTGCGCGAACTTCAGGCGGAGGTTAGAGGTCTGGCGCGAACTGCGGGGCTAAGACAAGACGACGGTGTTCGCATGCCGCACAATCCCGGCGATGTTGGAACCTTGGATGGCGCCGCCCAGCCCTCGGCGGCAGCGCAAGCGTCGGGGCCGACGCTGCAGCAGTCTTCGCCCGGTTCATCGGTTGCCCTACAAGTGTCCACCGATCAAGGGCTCGTTCAGATGTTCAATAGTCTGCAGACGGGCCTGCGCAACTCGTTCACCAGTTTCGGCGAGGAAATGCGCCAGTCCCTCACTGAGCGCACGGCTCCCATCAGCGATCTTCATGGAAGCGTGCAGGACCTTACAAGACGTTTTGGCGAACTTGCGCCACTTACTGGACGCGTGGATGCTATGGGCCAAACTCTGGACGCTTTTGGGGTTGATTTCCGCGCCCTTGTAGGCCGAGTGCAACGTTTGGAAGACGTTGGCCCTTTGGCGCGGAACCTGCGGGTATTCACCGAGCACCAGGATCGTCTGGGCGAAGCGCCCGTTCCGATGCTCGTCCTGCGCGAACCCGTTCGAGCCCCCAACGAGTCGGCGGCGGAGGCTCATCGTTCCTTGAGCACCGTCGCGTCGACGCCCGAGGCGGCCGCTGTATCTTCTCAGGGTCCTCCCTCCGTTGTCGAAGTCCGTCAGTCTCTCGGTGCCACTTCATCCAGTTCGCCGGTCGAGCATTCGGCGTCTAGGCTTCATCTCGCAATGACACGCGACCGCGATATGCTGGCCACAGTCCCTGCCAATGTATCGCAGCCTCCCTCGCCCAACCTGTCAGGTCCAATCGTACCTCCATTGCCGGAGCTGAATGGCATGCGCTCGCCAGGAGACCTCTCCCCTCTCACGACTACCCCATCGCCGGGACGTCAGCTGGCGCAGGCGACGAACGAGCATTCTCCCACCGTTCAGGCCCACGTGCTCCACTCGCCAGGGTCCCAACCTGCGCATAGCGACGGCAGTTCCACTGAGGATGACGCGCCGATGGAGACAGGAGACGACTGGACTCTCCCCGCCTCGAGGAAGCGTAGCGCGGAGGATGCTGGGGATACGGCGCGCGCTCAGAAGAGGCCGGCAGAGGAAGCGCATTCTGATGGTCAGGATGAAGATGCTGAAGGGAGCTCTGATGATCAGGCAGCGCCTACGACTGACGCTGTGTCGGTCGCGGCTCAGGGTAAACGGACCGGCAGGAACGTGAAGTCCCGCGGTGCAGGCGCCGCTCCTGATGTCGCCGCCCCGACTCCTGGCCGGCGAACTGGATTGCGTACCCGGGCGGGGCGCTCTGGCTGAGCCTGAACGTTGTGTTTTACGCGTTTGCCTAGTATAATTGGTGGTTTGGGTTTGCCTCGTGTTTTTCATTGACGTCATCGATATCTGCATCTACGGACTCTCTTCGGTACGAACTCTTTAGTTTAGCTTCATCTTAATCTGTCGCAATTGCATCTCGTAGTTCAATCATATCATGAGTTTACTTCTCTACTGCTCCTCGCATGATGTAGTTCGTCACTAGTAGCGGGTAAGCTCAAGATCGGTCTCTGAGCTAGAAAGACACGCGTAGTCGCGGCTCTAAAGCCCGGGTATGAATATAAACTTGCGGTGAGACGCTGAGCCTGCCCAGGCAGTAGAGATGACCACATATCTGTGAAAACGATTTCATGATAACACACCCTTGGCGGAGTGGTAGTAGTACTGGCACTTATGGCATTCGGAGTTGCTGGTTCGAATCCAGTTCCACCATGGCGGTGTTTTTTTATTCTGCTGGATTCAAGCGATCTCGCCTTTCTCGGCCAGCTAATAGACCTCCTTAGAATTAGATCATTGATGCAGAACTTTCCCTGGTGATCTAGTCCTATCTTGGGACGCAAGACAAAGATTTTAAGGCCGGTATTACTGTTCTCATTTCACCGTCTCAAGGCGCGGCGCTGCCCCGCCGCAAAGGGTTCCTCTTGGCACCGCCTCTTCATTTCCGGTCTCATTGGCAAGATCATCTGCGAGCCTAGGTATGTTTGCGCCACGCGAGAAGAACCAGATGGTGGCCACGAAGGCGCCAGTACACGTGATTGTCACATGTCGCTGATTTGCTCAACTCGTGTCACCCTTGTTGAACGCACCTCGTACCGCCATAGACTCTGCTGTTTCGTATCCCGTCTCAACCATGACTCCCGTCATGGGCCAGTGCGCGTTTCGGGCATGCGGCTCAGGCTTCATGGGCGATCTAGTCACCCCTTCATTGCTCCAGTCTGAACTGGAGGACTTTTACCGAGGAGATCCTCAGTCATCAGCCGCGGTTTCGTTGCTCCGCTTGCTCTCGGGTTTGGATACCCTCCTCGCTCTTCCTGTCGGATCCTCGGGCGCTCAGCCGTCGCAGATACATCTGCTCTGGGATTTTGTCTCGGTTGAGCAAGTGCGTGAACCTTCGAGGTGGTCGCAGGGCCATATTAACATACGCTCAGGCTTTGTCGAAAGTCCACACTCCTTCCTCGGACGTCCACGCCATTCATACGTTCACTCCCGACAAAGAACCTGAAGAAATGCTGGGATACATGCGTACGCTAAGGGCTGCGATGGGGCAGCCCAAACTCGAACCCCTTGCGGCGCTCGAGCACAGTAACCTCGGTCCTTTGCAGTGGTGGCTCGCCGCCGGTGAATGCTTTCTCTTTCTGTTCTTGATAACCAGCATCACTGAATCGCCGGTAGATAATATTTCCAGCGACCGCGCGATGCGCCGACAGGACATCTATGACAGCGTTCTGCGACTGTTCGGCCAAAATATTCTACCTTCGCTCCAGGTGAATCCCACACATGTGGTCAGTCAAAGCCCCTCGAACCCCGACTTCGTCGGTGAACCAACCGCCGAGACTGGCGCATACACCGGTCTTAGCGTCGGCCGGAATTCGTCGCCCGATGTGCAGCCGTCGGTCGGGAGCGTAGCTATCGCAGCCCGGGGGAGGCTTGCGTCGCCTTGGCTTGCTCCGCGCGAGTTTCAGGGGGAGATCTCTTGGCGCATTGAGGACCTGAACCAGCTTGTTGAGGATCTCTTAAACTGGTCATCTGGGCAATCCATTCCAGATGCCTTAATCTGGGAGCACCCGGCAATGCATGGATGTCTTGTGGACGCCGCTGGATGCGCAGCGCAATTTCAGGTAGGTTATGTTTATGTTTCTACCACTGGCCTGCATTAACTGAAGACATCCACCAGGTGCGATGCGGTGTGTGCGAAAGGCTCGACCGCCATTGTTATTGGCGAGGTGCAAAGGCTTGCCTGCCGTGTTTCTGGGAAAAAGCCTCTAAAGGCTCTTGCACTGGGGCTGTGCCACCGGCGCTAACACCAGCACAGGAGAGGGAGCACAAGCCTCAGTTAGCTCGACGCGTTGACTTTCTGCGGAGGCTTGAGAGTGCAGGTGTGATTGTGTATCCCGAGCATCTGGTTGAAACAAGTGGTACGTCAATGCCGCGTCAGTAAGTGTAACATATGATAATGTATCCCTTAGGTCGTGCCATCAGAACATCAAGCGGCCCGGGCATAGGACACCTTCAAGATGCTTCCCATACACATGAGTAGGGTGACATCTGCATACTAATAGCAGGTGAATCAATCTTGTGTCGATGGCTTGATTTCTCAGTGTATATTCAAACCAAGTATTGAACATATGGAAACTCTACGAGTATTGTTATATAAAGTCACTATCTCACCCAAAGCAATGGGAGACCCGGCATGCTTGATAGCCCCAGCAACTTAAGTACTTGCATACAAATGTGAGAGTCAAAACACCGGTCTTAAATTTATAGCAAGACAAAAATGCCGCTTTGGCCTGGCAGATGTTGGGCTTGGCTCCAAACCATCTAAGCCCCACCGCAGGGCGCACTCCGCAGCCGGTGCTTTGAGCAAAGTCACCGCGGTGCCTGCGACTGGCTGTCTGGTGATTTGTCGACTACACCTGGATTTGGTGCCCATGCTCAACAGTAGCAGCGCACTGATTTTTGTATAGCATACCTATGCTACACTCGCGCCGGAGCTAGAAGGGGACTGTCTGCCCTAAGCCCGGTGCCACAAGAATGACAATATATTTCACTTGCATGGTGATCACCTGTCATTTTTCTCCACTAACGACCTTAACCAACCTGTCATTCACTGCTACCAACGGGTCTGGACTGCTAGATGGGGTCCCGGGATCGGTATCGTTGAGCGTCATGGTGCAGCTGAACGCTGCGCAACCTGCATGTGTGACCAACATACTGAGCGGTGTACCAGAGCGAGCCCTTGTGGACGTCAACTTGCGCGGCCGTTATGCGTGGACGTCCAAGTCTCCCTTCGAGACCCTTGCAAATAAGGGTATTCGGGTAGCGCGATTCTTTGATAGCAGCGGGTCTCTGGCGGAGATTATGGTACTCCCAGCGGGAAAAGGTAGTCGCCGAGCACAAGTGACCTGTAAGAGTGGCTAGAACCCGGCCGTGGAACTACTTTCTTGACCTGTATACACAACGTATCACTGAGGATTGTCTGTACAACAATGTAGTATCATAGTGACTCACTGCGCCCGAGAATAACCATAAGACGATCATGATTGGCACATCCATCGTGAACAGCGAGTAGTCCCAGGTCTGGATCATGGGACCGGCGGGAGATGGAGCATGGGAACGTCGTGCAAGCGTGCTTGTTCCGAAACGCGCGCTTGTCTCAGCGTTCACCGCTAACCACCATGCCGCGCTTCAGGAGTTCATAAGCACATCATCTATGCACCAGCAGGACAGACCGTCCGCCGTGATGAGAGGGAGCAGGCGGAGTTGAAACATGCGCTCAGGATGAGGCATATCGTGGTACAGGTGCGTGAGCCGGCCGCGCGACTAGACAGGGTGCTGATGCCTGGCTGCAGTTGAATGCACGAGGGTGAAGCAAATATATGTCACGCAATATCACGATGTATTAGTCTGGCTACTAAATTATACTGGCGGGCAAGTACGCAGTTGACCTGTGATCTTTGACAACTACTTCATCCGGTCTATTTGGGGCAGTCTTCTTCGAGGCTGCTGGAACGCGGGAGCGATGTCGCTGTAGGTCGTATGGTTAACGGAGAGAACTGTGACAAGTGCGATGTTGATGTTACCTCTTTTCGTGGAGAAGGGCAACAGAGCATTGGTGGCGTCTGGTGGCAGGCTCAGCCGACGACGGCCCCTGGTCTGATCTTCTCCATAGGTCGGCGGCGGTGGCGCGACATCATCAATAGCCATCCGTTCTTGTCCATCGTCTAATCGTAGTCGTTTTGCAGCTGCGTCTAACTGATAGGATCCCCGAGCTCATTTCAGTACTACCGTAGGCCCATCATCGGGACTCGATCCGGTAGAGAGGCCATTTGGCGATGTAAACCGAGCAAATACTTGGGCCTAAGATGCTTCAGGGCTAGGGCACAAATAGTATGGCGAGGTGAGCAACTTACGTTGGCAACTGTTGAGTCCACGATGCTGATGGAGCATAGTACTTGTCTCATCTCTGTCTGGCGATCGTTGATGGGCACGATCTTGAATGACATTTCGACGCATACGACCTGCCCGTATCTGACGACGCCCCCACTTGCAGGTTTATAATCAAACCTGCCGGCCCTGTGATCCTTGTGAGTGGGAACAGAGCTGCAGAATACATGAGCGCCTTACTCATCAGTCCGGATAGCGCGGGAAACAGAGATCCGGTTTTCGTCCGTAATTGTCCAGTTGCGGCGCTGGGCCCATTTCCCGACAATGCCGTAGGGATCTTCCAGACGGGAGTAAACTGTCGGGGTTTGAGTCTTCCTCAGCACTTTTGGGTGTGTTGCTAGAGGCGTTTGGGCCACTATTAACGGCTCGTTGTACAGGGAGACCTCGCGGTAGTCCTTCAAGAGACCGGATGGACATTCAAGACTCGCTAGCGCGTAGATGTTTTTCAAAGCCCGTGTCGCTTCCAAGAACGCTGGATTGCCGAGGCCCATGATAGCGATAGACTGAGTACCGGGCTGTGACCAGTTGGTCTGTAAGTGCGCTCTGTGTTACTTGTCAGACGCCCGCGCTGATCCAAGGTGTCAGCTGGGGTACGCACTGATCACGATGGGTGAACGGCAGTAGGTTCACTTCGGCGACGACGCCAGATACTAAGAGGTGGACCTCCTGACATGACCCACCTCTGGCCCGCTCGCACAACGTGTATTCCTCCTTCTTCGGATGTGTCTTAACCCATTCGAGCTCATTTGACAGAGTAGCGGTCTAGTCATGATGAACTTGTGAGCAATGTTCTCCATTATCTTTGTAGAAGACTGACCGAGGAGAATACGTGGAGCTTATCAAACGTGTTCTGCCCGAGCAAGGCCTCGTCCATGGAGTCGGTGAGGCACGAGTGGTTTGTTCGATTCCACAGAGCACGGAAGTTTTCAGGGAATTCGCTGGTATCGTGAATGAAAGGGGAAGCCATTGGATGATGACGAGGATGTGGGGATGCGATGGGTGAGTAGCAGTCGCCGACGCGTATCTTTTATAGGCGGTGGCGCTAACTTCGTGACCACCCTGAAGGCCCTCTTATCTCACGCGCACGACAAAGTCAAATGCATATTCTGAAACCGAGTGTCACACGCAGCCGAGTGGCTGGGGCAATGCGGGCGGTCGGAGGCGCCTCCGCCAGTCGGCTGTTTCGACTGAATTAGGGCGGAGATGTCGAGCGCCGATTCTCGGGCAAGTTGGTAGGCGACGCGCCTTGTCTCTTCGGCCTTCGGGTCCGCGAATGCTCGTTAGCCGAATGTAAGGCGGGCATGCGGCACGATGATCGGCCCGATTCTGCCGTATTGCGAGAAGATGTAGGCTAACGAAGCTGTTACATAGGCATGTTCGCTGCGAAAAGATCCCCTTTCGTCTCGCTGGGCCTGCCCCAACTGGAGGCAATCATGAAGAGTCTCGCACAAGTCATGTTCATGGGGATTCTTGTGATTTCAGTACGGTCGTGCAAGAAATGTGAGCACGTTTGCCTGCTGTAGGAGCGCTTAGATCGCTGAAGCTCCTCAGGGCCACCGCTTAGTTATTGGGATTGTGATCTTCACGATGATGGCGGCCGCGGGAGCTAGCATTGTTCACCGCAAAAGCCGGAGTCCGATCGCTTTCGAGCTGTGCTGTTATTTCTGCAACAGACGTCCCCATTCAGATGCAAGTGAAAGCGGAAGATACTCGAGAAGGAGATTTCCGACTTTTGTATCTTGGTGGAAGGCGAATCGCAGACGTCGAAAGGACGAGGTACGCTCTCACGCGTTGCCCTTGGCCCCGTTTGCCGACCATTAACTTGCCCGAGAAGGACCGGCTTCTTCGCAAGTGTTTCATGATGCCAACGAGGTCCTGTCTCTTGCCCGTGCTTGTATGAGTACCATTGGAAGACTGTCCATTGGGTCTCTTTGTGCGTACTTCAGAAGGTTTACGCGTTGGGCAATGCGGGCAGGGAGATTGCGAGAAGGTGAGCATCTCTCACCCGTTGAGACCGGAAGCTATTCAAACGGTGGCGTCGGTGCTAGATCTCCATCAAACTTGTCCGAAACGGCAAATATGCGCTTAACGTCC